GAACACACACACACACACACACACACACACACACACACACACTGTGCCATGAGTGGAGGCGCACCTGGCAGCTGCTGGTGAACCGTAAGTGGTACACGGTGAAGCATTCCAGGAGCAGCTGTTCTGGACGTTCTGTGGCACTGGTTCATTTAACTCTGCTCCTGTGGGGTGGACCACAGGGAGCTGCCTCTCTGGAGGTTCGATCCACCACTGACCCCTTGGGCAGAGAAGGATGGGCACCCTGCTCCCCTGTGATTTAGCCTCTGCAAACCTGCTGGAGGCTCAGCTGTGAGTTGGTTCTGACTCAGGCAACGAGGGATGGGGAGGGAGGGAGGGAGAGCGTGTACACTCTCTAGTGGCCTAGTGTGTAACTTGCTGGGTTGCTAACTGAAAGGTCAGCCGTTCAAATCCATCAGCTGCTCCCCGCGAGAATGAGGGACCATCTCCACCTGTAAGTGATTTACTGCTTTGGGAACCCAAGAAGGGTGGCCGTGAGTCAGACTCAACCTGACGGCAGTGTGTTGGCTTTTGCAGGTACCCTAGTACAAAGAGCTGTGATAGGACGGTGGGTAAGTGCTCACCTGCTAGGTGAGAGGTCAATGGTTCAAACCCATCAGCTGGGGAAAGATGTGGCAAGCAGCTCCGGAATCTTTCATTTCCACCTCAGAAAGCCCAGGGAGCAGTTCTGTCTGTCCTGTGGGGTCACTGGAGTCAGGGTCGGCCTGACGGCAGCGGGATTTTTGTGCCCTGATGTGGCAGGTGCTGTTAGCCTCACACCAGGCAGAGGAGGAGCCTGAGGCACGAGGAGGTGTGCACGAGCCCTGGGCAGCTGGGTGTCCCGCCAGCTCTTGACCATTGAGTCACAAGACTCAGCAGGGGCCTGGCTTTCGAAAGTGAGGCCTGGGGACTTAGCCCTGAGCCTGGGGGCAGTGCTGGGCCAGTGGGCTTAAGGACGTGATGGGGTGTGTATCTTTATGTTTTTAATTGTGTGTCTTGTATTCCTCTGTTCACATTGTGTTTCATAGGGTCATCCCCATACATTGTGTTGTGTTTTGTTTTTAATTTTTTTAAATTATTTTGTGTGTGTACGCTGTCAAATCAGATCCGACTGGTGCAGGAGGAGATTGTCCTTTCTTCTCTAGCAGAGCATCTGGTGGATTCGAACTGTGTACCTCTGGGATTGCAGTGCAGCTTCCTTCCACTAGGCCACCAGAGCTCCCTTACATTGTGTTTTATAAAATTAATCACCATTGATCCATGCCCATAATTACCCCACTTTTTCAGATCTCCGTTGGATCTTTCCTCATTTCTTCAGCCCCTCTGCGCACATAACTGTGCCCTCCTCCCCACCCTCAGCCCTCCTTTCCCCCCTCTGCCCCCTTCCTCCCCCTTTTCCCTTTCCTTTGAAATTGTGCTGCGTTAAGTTTACAAAGCAAATTGGTTTTCTAGTCAATTGTTCTTCATTCTTCTACTCATTTGCATTTTCTTCTGACATGAACCACACCCCCACATTGTAACGGCTCTGCCCTCTGCTGCCTCGTCCAGGTCTTCCCGGTCCCTCTTGATACCCTGAGGCCCGTCCCCTTATGGTGAGATTCCTTTCCCTTCAGATGGGGTGGTCTGGAAAACCAGAGCCTCAGGTGCACAAAGGGTCATAGAAAGAACAATGCCACTTCCCCAAATGCCAGCCCCCCACCCCGGAAGCAGTAGTGTTACTGTCTCACACCACACACTCTACACACACACACACTTCACACACAACACACCCCCCAGAGAAAGAGTACCCAGACAAGGCAAGGCACAGGGGCTGGATTGCGCTGCTCTGCAGAGAACAGTATTATCTTGGACGTAGTGAAGTTGACGGCTCCATGTAAAGCCCAGGTGACGTTAACTATAGTGCGTGAGCGCAACTAAGCCTGTGTGCACCGTGCTCACTGTAAACCATTGTGTAGAGTGCTTGCTGGTCAATCTACACCTATCTCACACACATTGTTGTCTCTCTGGAGACTAAGCTGCGCCTGATACAAGCCATGGTCTTTGCAATCACTTGTTATGCATCAGAGAGCTGGACAGTGACTAGGGAGGATAGAAAGAGAATTGACGCCTTTGAGCTGTGGTGCTGGAGAAGAGTATTGAGTGTACCATGGACTGCCAAGAAAACAGATTCATCCTAGAGAGGGTTAAACCGGCTAGTCCTTGGAGGCAAAGATTCTGGGGCTTCGTCTGACATACTTTGGACATGTTGTAAGGAGGGACGGGTCCTTGGAGAGGGGCATCATGCTTGGGAGGGTGGAGGGACAGCGCAGGAGGGGAAGACCCTCTATGAGGTGGATTGATTCAGTGACTGGGGTAATCGGAATGGGTGTGTCAGGGGCAGTGCGATTGGCACAGGATAGAGCGGGGTTTAGGGCTGTTGTACGTAGGGTCGCTATGAGTCGCAAACGACTAGACGGCACATAACAACATCACACACACACACACACACAGGGACACACCCCAGAGCTTTCATATAGACCCACTCAGACATACACATGTAGATACATACACCCCAGTACTCACACCTTCAGACATTTACATCTGCTCAATGTCACAGACACATACAGATGCATCATACAGATACACACCTAATAAACAAAGATTTACACGACAGTGCATACCCACCCAGAGATATTCATGTACCCACACTCCCTCCCACAGACATACACACAAACAGATACGAACACCCACACAAAGGTGTACACACCTGGTCACTGACACACACACACCTGATACACATACACACGGATATACACACTCCCGCTGAGTGGCACAGTTGCACACACACAGATGCAATACTCAAATACACATGCACACACATATGCTCACACACACACACACACACACACACACACACACACACACACACACACACAGGCTTGCTGTGGATTTCCTGGCCTGGCACGAGGCTGAGGACCCTCATGGCCAGTGACTTCTCCCCCTCCTGCAGGACCGGGTGGATCTCTTGCAGAAGATGACCCAGGAGCATGCGCAGTACCAGGCGGACCTGGACGAATTCCAGCTGTGGCTGCAGGCGGTGATGTCGAGAGTGGACGGCTGTCTGGGCCATGCGCGTGAACTGACCACCCAGCACCGCCTCTCCATCCTGCAGGTGACCCAGGCTGGACCTCCACTGTGGGCGGAGGGATCTACTTTATAATCTGTTCAGTGGGACAGTGCCGGGTGTCAGGGGGACACTGAACATCCCACAGGCTCCTGTGAGGAGCAACATGGCATCTAAATGAACAGTGTTTCGGCCACAACTGCTTTACCAAAGACCTCTGTCTCAGAGGTGCAGGGGTTAAGAACTCAGCTACTAAGCAAAGGTTGGTGGTTCAAACCCACCTAACGCTTTATGGGAGAAATACATAACACTCAGCTTTCAGAAAGATTACGGCTTTGGAAACCTCATGGAGCAGTTCTGCTCTGTCCTACTGGGTTGCTACGAATCGCAATCAACTCTACAGCGGTGAGATTTTAATCTTCACACAATCAGACGCCCTATCTTCCTCCTATGGAGCTGCTGTGGTTAGGAGCTGTTGAGTTGTGTTTAACTCATAGAGATTCTGTGAACAACAGATCTGAACTCTGCCCTATCCTATCCTGTGCCGTCCTCACAACCTCTGACCATCCACTGAGTTTCTGAGCCAGTAAATCTTAACAGGAAGACACTGCTTCATAATAACCAGCAGTCGTCGTCGTTAGATGCTGTCAAGTCAGAACTAACTCGTAGCTGGGTTTTCAGAGGGAATGAATCAGTGGGAGAAGACTGCCGATCTTTTTCATGGAGCTGGTGGATTCAAACCACCTACCTTAGCGTTGACAACACAATAGAGAAGCGCAGAAATAAATACAGTGGAGCCAAGCCTCAACACCAAGTCGTAGTCGGATCCCTCCAGAATCCACCAGCAGCTCCGAGGTAGAAAGATGGGCAGCCTTCTCCCTGTCGTGTTTGCTGCCCCAGGAAGCCTGGTGGAGTCAGAACTAACTTGATGAGAGTGAGTCTGGAGTTCTGAATTTATGTTCTGAGCCTGAGGCTGCCTCTTACTTTGTTAGACAGGAAGATGGGCTAGAGGTGTTTAAAGATGGAAAGCATCCAGCAGACACACTTTCTCCTGGATTTAAACAAAGGCCTTGTAAACAGCTTGTGGCGGGAGTGGGGTTCTCATGTCCTGAGTCAGTGCTAACTAATTTAGAGCACACCCCTTGGGAAGGGCCCTATGCCCTCACCCAGGAATCTAGAAATTAGTGTTGAGCATAACTTTAACAAGGACTCTGGAAAGTAGAAGTCTTCCCTCACTGTCTGTGCCTTTCCCCACGTCCCTCTGTCTCCATCAGGACCTCGCCAAAGAGCTGCCCACAGGTGAGCAGTCCCTGACGAAGCTGGAGGAACAGTCCCTAGGGGTCATCCGGAACACCTCTCCTTTGGGGGCAGAGAAGATCACCGGTGAGCTGGAGGAGCTGCGGAAATATCTGGAAAAGCTGCGAGGCCTCTGTGTGGAGGAGGAGGAGAGATTCCAGAGCGTGCTCAAGTCCCAGGGTGCCTGTGAGCAGCAGATCAAGGAGCTGGAGGCAGAGCTCGGAGAGTTCCACAAGGGGCTCCAGAGGCTGACTGAGGAGGACCTGCAGCCCTCAGCGACAGGGGCCTCTGAGGATGAGCTGGTGGCCCGCTGGAGACGGTACTCGGTAAGTAACTTCAGCGGGACTGTGGCAATAGTCTGCCCAGGGGCTGTCTGTGTTTTGGGGTGCATAGTGAGGGTTTGGCTTGATCATCTCTGTTATTGTAACAGAAATTTATCCTCTCACCAGTCTGAATTCAGGGTGCCAGCTGGAGGGCAAGGCTATCTATGTGTCTGTCCGTCTGTCAGCTCTCCAGGAAGATCTTTGTCTTCAAGCTCCTGGGTCAAGGAGCTTCTCGGCACAGGAATGCTGGGTGCAAAGAAACTTTCTGCTCTCAGCTCTTCTTTCTTGGTAGTTCTGAGGTTCTTCTCTCTCTGTTTGCTTCTCTCTACTTTTATCTCTTGTAAGATAAGAGATGATGCAGGCTACACTCCAGGGAAGCTCCTCATTCCTGGGAATCCAGGCTGTGACCCGGGTAATCCACATACAGGTACTAGCTGATCACATCCTGGGAGATGGTTGCATCATCATATGAATTCGTCACTAACATCACAGAGGTTTTATCCCTCATGCAATGATGACATCAGTCCACAACAGGGAGGCATCATGGCCCAGCCAAGCTGACATATGTTTTGGGGGACACACAATTCTATGACAGGAACTGGGCTGAGCCTTACGTGCTCAGCGGTGTTTCCCTCACTTGAGATCTCTTCTACGGAATCTGGACTCTTTCCTCTTTTTTTGAGAAACAGGGATTTCAGGTCAGCATAATTGTGTTGGAGTATCAGTTAAAAGAACATCCTGTGGTCAAGTCCTGCATTGGGATAAGTCATGCTTTCTGTCCTCTTTGAGGGGTGCTCGGGTACCCCGCATGAGCAGTGCTGAGTGCTGCCAGCCCTTTGTGCATGATACTGCTGGCCCATTTTATGGATGAGGAAACTGAGGTGCTTGGAGGTGAGCTGACACCTGAGGTTATACACAGCCCAGGTAGACACAGTCATGACCTTGAACCAGCTGTCTGACTCTAGGTTATATGTTTATGTCCTGGAGACCACTGGGTCCACTCTCGCTCCTGGTCCTAGAAGACCACCACAAGGGAGAATAGCAGCCAGGACGTCAAATGCCTGCCCAGGCTCTTGTCTGTGACCACAGGTTGAGCTCTGCCCTCCTAGAGGCCAGGAAGGGTTAGTTTTGCTGGGAGAGCTGGACTGTTCAGGAGACAGGACACCTGAGGTTTTCAGGCTAAACAGGTCAGTCCAGAAGTCAACTATGTCTCAGGGCCTCCCCTCCTGGGCACCCCAGGCCATCAGCCAATGAATGACGGCATTATTCCACGCTAGGCACACCTCCAGCAGGTCAGAAGCAAAAGGCCGCTCACAAGCAGGGAAACTGAGGCTAGAGTTGGAGGGTTTGTGAGGCTGCCAGCCGTGGGAGCATACTCTGTCTAGAGCTCCCTGTTCCTCAGGCCCTCGGTGAAGCCCGGGGCTGACTGGTGGCCTCGCTCTGGTCCACATGGGCCCTGGTTGAACAGAGGACAGCAGAGTTCCTCAGTGATGAGTGCTCCCTGGGAGACAGTGGGGCTCAGTGTTCAACTAAGATGAGGATTAAGTTCTACCAGGCCTCTGGTGGGCACACAGAGCACTGCTCCTCTGAGCCACACCCCACAAGGACAGATCCAACAATCTGTACAGTGAGCTCAAGGATGGGAGTGTCTGGACAGAACCTTGGCAGCCTGGGAGCTGGGAAGGGGCAGTCAGGAGAACATGGAGTCGCAGTTGGTACCAGTGGTTAATGCATTCGGCTGCTGCAATGACGCCAGCAGTGTGAGCCCACCCCGAGGTGCCTCAGAAGAAAGGCCTGGTGATCAGCTTCTGAACTACCAGCCAGTGGAAACCCTCTTTGTGAGGCCTCAAAGAGATGGGGCGCTGGGAGCACCCACTGTGCTCCTGTGTTCCCCAAACAGCGGTGGTTCTCACTGATGTGTGTCAGTGACCGGTGTGACAGTGCTGTGAGTGGGTGACACTGGAGAGAAAAACCAGCCCAGCAAAGAGTGCCAGCACCCACTGCGCGGTGAGCCTGGAAAACGTGGTGCTGAGTGAAGTCGGTCAGTCTTCAAGGAACAAATACCCTATGGTCCCACTTAAACAATGCACTTAACTCTGCGCCTCATACGCCCCTCCATTGCCTTCTCGAGGCTGTACGGTTTTGTAGGAGGAGACGGACCATCTTTCTCTGGAGGGGCCGCTGGTGGATTTGAACTGCCAGAGACATGTGGCATGACGGTTAGCAATACAACACCCTCCAGACCACGCCATCAGAACTCCTTAAGAGAAATAGATGAGGCAGAAGCTTGAAGAGCCGAGTAGAGCAGTGGTTGTTAAAGGCAGGACGAACGGGGACAGGGGCCATCATTGCTGGGGGGCACTGAGCTTCTATTACAAGTGATGGAAAAATCTAGAAAAGGGGAGTGGTGATGGTTTCATGACATAATTAACAAGGTCTATGTCAATGAGTTGTAGTTGTGGCTGCAGAGGGGTCACTGATTCTGACTCACAGCAGCCCCACGACCCTCACTATCCTCGTGGTAACATCTGTGCTTGGGCTGTCGTGGCATCCAGGGCACCAGCATGAGTCACTGAAGGTCCACCTCCCGCTCTGACCTTCTGCTGAGGGGCCATCCTCTTGTGCGATTTGTTGTTGTTATTGTTGTTGTGTACTGTCAGGTTGGAACTGACCCACAGCTGACTCTCTGGCAGGTTTACAGAGGCAGTTACTCGAATGGGGGAGATTGCCCATCTTTCTCCCATGGAGTAGCTTAGTGGATTTGAACCCTGTGCCTTTGGGATTGCAGTGTAGCTTCTTACCACTAGGCCTCCAGAGCTCCCTAAACCAGTCTAAACTCCCTCTAAACCACTCCTGTGGTTTATTCTCTTGAAACCACCCTGGACGGTCAGTTATGAGTTGGTTCCAATTAGGCAACAATGAGTTGAGTTTTCTCTACCAAACATGATGATGTCTCCTTCCACCAACTGGCCCACCTGATGTCACTGAGTAATACATGTAAAAAAAGGGGGAAATACAAATGTTGGGTTACATTTTTGTTTTAAAAAACCCAGTTGCCATGGAATCAGTTCCGATGACTCAGGGGGACCCCAGGTGTGTCAGGATAGAACTGTGCTCTGAGGGGTTTCAGTGGCTGATTTTGCAGTGGGACACCAGGTCTTTTTTTTCAAAGCACATCTGGGTTGATTCGAACTTCCAACCTCTTACTTTGTTGGGTGTGTTAACTGTTTTCACCACTCAGAGACTCCTGTATGTGTCCATGTCATTGCTAGCTCCTTGGAGCGGTCTCTGCCTCTCAGTGAGCTCATGTGTGAGAGAACCTAGCCCCGCCCCGCCCTGCCCTGTGCCAGCCTCGATCTCTGCTGGGCACGAATGAATTGTCATCACAATTAACTATCACCTGCGTGAGGCAGGCAGAGTGGGGTCTGGCCCTCATTGTGGGGGTTCCCAGTCTTCTCCCAGGCAGCCCCCTCCTGGTCAGGCCCCCAGTCTTCTCTTAGGCAGCCCCCTCCTGGCCAGGCCTCCAGTGTCCAGCTGCAGTGACCTCCCTCACCCTCACTGCCTTGTGTTCTGCAGACAATGCGGGCGACGCTGGCGGCTGAGGAGCCCCGGGTAGACCGGCTGCAAGCCCAGCTGAAGGACCTTCTCGTCTTCTCCCAAGACCTGCGGCCGCTGTCCGACGGTGTGGTGGCAGCCCTGCAGGAGTACCAGAGGTGCCCGGGGCCTGTGGGCGGGCAGGGCTGCGGGGGCTTCCGACCCTATCCTACCCGCTCCAAAGGGGACCTTGCATCTTCCTGCTGCCTCATGACCATCCGTCCTTCTTGGATGTCTTTTGATTATTTTGTGTTTTGCTCCTAAAAGGAAACTTGAACTTGGCTCTTTGCCACACTGAGGGGCACGCCCATCTATTTCCATCAAGCCTTTTGATGCAGCTTGGTGTTGGGGAGGGACCGCCCCACAGCAGCCTCTCAAGTCAACGCTGACTTGCAGTGACCCCATGGCTGTCCCCATGGCTGTTGAAGTCCAGCCTCACTTTGCAGGGTGTACAGGGACTCGATTCCAGAAGTAGATCACCAGGCCTTTCCTCCGAGGCACCTCTGGGTGGATTTGAACCTCCAGCCATGGTGGTTAGCAGTTGAGAGTGTTAACTGTCCCTTCAGGAATGACAAATCCAGAGGGTGGGCATTTTACCGGTCCCTCACCCTGCCTTCTGAAGTCACTGGGACTGACCTCTGGGTCTATTGTCCTTCCTCCTGGTCCTGCCGCTCTGGCCCAATGGGACCTGGGTTTTCCTGGCTGAGTCCCCACCACCAGATCAAACAGCCACCCCAGGTGACCTGAGTGGAATGCAGCTCTGGCGTCTGTCCCCAGGGGTATTCTAGATAGGGCACTACTGTCCCCAGAGGCTGAATGGCTTCCCTCCTCTGCTGGGTTCCGTGCACGAGACTGAGTATCTCCCAACATGTGTCTCTCACCCTGGAGTGGTCAGCCCATGTCTCTGAGAGCCCAGCAGTGCCTGGATACTTTGGGGTAGGGTTGGGGCTGTTGTTAGGTGACAGCAAGTCAGCTGTGCCTCACAGCCATCCTGTGTGACAGATTGAACCCCTGCCCATTCCTGTGACAGGTTCATGAGCTCTGCTGTGCTCAAGGCCAGTCCTGCAGTCACTGGGTCAGTCTATCCTCTTTGGGGGTCTTCCTCTCTTTCATCAATCCTCTACTGTTCTCAGCATGATGTCTTTTTCCAAGAACTAGTACCTCCTGATAATATCTCAAAGCATGGGAGATCAGGTACCCGCCTTGACCGCACTCTCCCCGACAGATGTGTTTGGTATTTTGGCAGGGCGTGGGATAGTCAATACTCTTCTCCAGCCTTGTGGTTCAGAGGTGTCTGTTCTTCTGGGCAGGATGAGGGTCTTAACCTTCAGTGCACATAGTGGCTTCTCTTTTGAGGAACCTCTGGGTGAGATTGAACTCCCAACCTTGCAGTTAGTAGTGGAGCAGTTATCCAATTATACTATCCACGTATCTAGAGCGGCTTCTCCTGCTGAGGCAGCCAGAGCTGGCCCGGGGGTAGGCCACCCGGTCAGCAGGGTCCACACAGGCTCACTCATGTGCACTTCCTGGTCTGGAGGCCAGTCTCCCCCGTTTTACACCTGAATGTCCCCCAGATGGCCAACAGAACAAGCAACCATGTCTTAAAAGAGGTACATCCAGAGTGCTCCTTGGAGGCAAGGATGGTGAAGCTTCGTCTCTCATCCTTCGGGCGTGTTGCTAGGAGAGGCTATTCCTTGGAGAGGGACATCCTGATTGGAAGGATAGAGGGTCAAAGAAAGAGGAAGGTCCTCAATGAGGTGGATTGACAATGGCACTTACCGTAATGGGTTCTAGTGTATCAGATATGATGAGGATGGCACAGGATAGGACAGCACTTGGGTCTGTTGTTCATAGGGTCACTATGAGTCATCCCTGACGACACCTAATAACAACAATATTACCTACTAGTGACCACTCACAGATAAGCCCCAATGGGCTTGGCTTAGCATGGTTTGGGGTGCACTCTGTTTACTGGCTCCCCATCCCTTGCTTGTCCCCTTTAGGGTTCAGGAAAGCCCTCGTAGCTGGGGCTGGAGGCAAATGGACTTTGTTTAGAGGCAGCAAACACGGGTTTCCCACAGTAGCCAGCAGGTGGCTGCCTCCCAGGATTCCTGCCCCTCATCTGGGCTCATCCAACTGCTGTTTATTCTGAAGTTTGGACAAGGCTGGACCCTTGTGCCTTTGGTCTGCTGGGGTCCACAAGCTCTCCACCCTCCATTGCTCAGCCCTTCCTCCATCCTGACTCAAGCACACACCGACTTCTCCCTTCCTGACCTGCCCTCTGCCCACCTCCCTACTACTACCCTTTATACTGCTTCTAGAACCTTCTGTCTGCCCCAGAGTAGATGAGGTCACCGAGCAGAGACCATCAAGGGTCTCTACTTACGGATAAAGTTTGATCTGGCTTAGGCTACCTCTTACGAGAAGCCTTCCCTGACTGCACCTTCCCCTCTGCCTCATCAGCATCCATGTAGTACTTTCTTTTTTCATTATTTTTATTTTATATTGCTTTGCTTACAAAGTTCATATACATTATTTAACACTATCATCATTCACACTGTGTTTCATACAATCATTCCCATGCATTATGTTTTATAAAACTAAATTGGGCTGTGCCCATCATTACCCTGTGTTTCCAGGTCCCCACCAGATCTTTCATGTAGTACTTTCATAAACTCCTGCTGTGCTTCTGTAACAGAGATATCACAAGGGGATGGCTTTCATAAACAGAAATCTCTTACCTTTCTGGTTAGGATGCTGAAAGTAGTGATCTACCTCAAGCAGAAGGCTTTCTCTCTGTGTCTGCTCTGGGGAGGTAGCTCTGGTTGCTTTCAATAGCTGTGGACTCTTCATTCCTTGGGGATCTTCATGTGGGTCTAAGTCTGGGTCTAGGAGGTTCTCAGTGCAGGACCCTGGGTCCAAACGAGATGCTCCATCACCATCTCTTCCTTACTGATAGTAGTACGTCCTTCTCTCCCCACTGTTGTTGTTGTAGGTGTTGTTAAGTTGATGACTACTAGCAACCTTATGAACAACAAATCAGAACCTTACCTTATCCTGCACTCTCTTCACAATCTCCCCCATGTTCAAGTCCATTGCTACAATCATTGTATCATCCATCTCTTGGAAGGCCTTCCTCTCTTTCACTGACCCTCTACTTTCCAAACATTCTCTCTGCTAGCTTCTTTAATTAGGTCTATATTTTTTTAAAGCTATTGACTCAAACTTAGTCTCTGAGCTCAAGCTCATTGCTATAGTCACTGTGTCTGTCACCTTGGTGAGGGTCTCCCATTCTTTCTCTGACCCTCCCCCCTTTTCCCAGCATATTGTCTTTTCCAAGGAGTGATATCTCCTGACAACATGCCCTAAGTACATGAGACAACATAACATCTCTGCCTGTAGGTTTTCAACACACATGGTAATTACATCTGATCACAAAGCAGAGGATGGCTAGGTAATACTGGGAATCATGTACCCACATTGACGTGTATCTAGGGGCATACATGTCACACCATACCGACCTGAGGGTGTCCTGAGGACAAAAGTTGCTTTTTTAATCCTCTGTGTACTCTCTGTATGTCATAAGGTGAAATTTTCCAGTAAACCCTGAATTGAATTTAGTCAGATTTCCTGCAGAGCTTCCTGTGGGCATCCTGGGTATGTGATTCACACAATCAAACACCATCCTTCCCACAGCCACGGTATGGAATCCTTCCAACATTGAGGGCTCAGTTTTCACTATCAGTTCCAAATTTTCTGTTTTGTTGTTTTCCTGAAAATCCACTCTGCTACTTTCTGTTGGACAGAGAGGGTCCTGTGACCTGTAACTGACTTGATGGAACCAAACAACAACACTTACGATTTCTGCTTTTCTGTGCAAATCACTCGGCTTGGATTTTTCCTCTGTGCACAAGGTTGTTTACAGTCTGTATCTGGTCATCGTATGACCTCAGTCCTCGTGGGCTCGTGTGCCTGGTCTTCCATGTTGGTGTGGGAGATAGGGTTTGAAATACTTATTTGTAGACATCATTTGGATGTGGGTGAAGGCATTCTCTTTTGATTCTGCTTCGTGCCTGTGGCAGTCTCAGTCATTTTCTTAACTCTCCTTCAAGCCCTCAGTTTCCTTGGTCAAGAAGCTAAGTTACAAGTCTGTTTGAAGACTGGCTCACCTGCAGCCGAGGGCATCAGCCTCTGAGGTCCCAGCTGCCGGCGGGCACGGCTGTCATAAGCAGACCTGTGATGGGCTTTGGGTTTTGACTCTGTCCCTCTGGCTCTGAAGGGCTGTGAGAAGCACAGTCCAGTCTGACAGCCGTTCTTCCGCTCTGGCGAAGTGAAGGGAGAAGTAGCTTCGGGCACTAGATTCATTTGCTGGATGTTTTGTTTTGTTTTTTACAATCAATAATTTATTCATTGCTCATACCTTTTTACAGAAAACCAGAATAACATAAATGACAATTATATACATGGATCTTACCTAAAGGAATATACAAGTATCAAATTGGTTTTATCTATAGAAAGAGACAATACAGAACTCATTATCAGCTGTCTAAATAAGCATTGAGGCTGATTGTGGAACAGAACATTAATTACTCATATGCAATTTAAATTGCAGCAATTTTTTTATTGATTTATCTTTTTTTATATATATATTAGGCAACTATTTTTTTAATGCAGTAAACATAATTTATCCAGTTTTTCTCAGTCTTACCCGCACCCCAATGTCAGCCTCATTCTATAACAGTGGCACCATATGATATTTGTCTCTTTGTGACTGAGATTTTTTGCTCAGCATAATGTCCTCCAGGGTCACCCGTTTTGAATAATATTGCATGAGTTCCTTGTTTTTCAAAGCAGCATAGTATTCCATTGTGTGAATATACCACAGCTTCTCTATCCATTGCTTTGTTGATGGGTACTTAGATTGTTTCCAACTCCTTGCTATTGTGAATAAAGCCACAATAAACATGGGTGTGGATATATCTGCTTGGATGTCATTTATGGTCTATATAGGGTATATTCCATTTTCTGGATTTTAATATTTTTCATTAAAAGAAGGCTTTATTGGTTCAGTTTCCCTCAGTGTAGGGGGATGCACTGGGCTTCCATTGCTGGAAGAAGGCGCCTCCCTGTGTCATTTCAGGTGACGCATGTGGCCCTGTGGGATGGGCTCTGGCCTCCCTGTGTCACAGGTGAGGAAATTGAGGCTCAAAGGCCTTAAGCTACTTGAGGTTCAGGCTACTAAGGTCACACAGCTGGTGTGTCTGACTTCCAGATCCCCATTCCCTGCATATATTTCAGAATCCAGAGACACTGGGGTTTCCAATTCATGTTCTCGTCCTGGGCCCGTGTCTGTCCTCAGGGAGGCCCAGGTTGGAGCCCATTGTGAGCTGTCTCTTTACCACCCACCCTGAGCACCTTCAATTCCTGTCTTGTGTTTATTTCTGTGCTTGGTCCCCACAGCTCAGGCGGTAGGCTAGTGGCCCCCTGTGAGTTGCACAGCAGGGTCCCTGGAGTTCTGGGCAGAGCTCCCTCCTGCCCCACTTGCTCACCCTCCACTCTCACCCCTGCTGCCCACAGCATGAAGGGGAAGACCACCAGGCTGCGTAACGCCGCGGGCGTGGAGCTGGAGCAGCGCCTCCGGCGGCCCCTGCAGGACGTGCAGCTGTGGAGGGAGCTGGCCCAGAGGCTCCTGGACATCACCGCCAGCCTGCCAGACCTGCCTTCCATCCACACCTTCCTGCCCCAGATCGAGGTAACTCAGCGGGACCGCCCCGTGGCCTTCCCGCCACCCTCACTGGGAAAGGCTTGTCCCCCAGCTTTGCAGGGTCTAGGTGAGGCCTGACGCCCCATCTGAGGAATCCTGAGTTCACAGCCAATGTCAGCACCTCTTGTCCTTGGGGATAAAGGGTACTTGAGTTGAAAGAATTGCCTGTGAGCTGGGAGGCTCTTGGCACTGCCTCTCAGCACTGCCTCTCACCGACTTTGACCTGTCTTCCCTCCCACTCAGTGCCCCCAGCAGTCCTCTGGATAGGTGCATTATATTTCTATGACAACAGTGGACTTTAGCTTTATTGTGGACCAGTTAGGGTAGCTGAGATTGCTCCATTTTAAAAATAACAATATTTTCTGAGTTCCTAGTATATCATTAGGATTCCCTGGGTCATGAAGATGGTTGAGCACTTGGCCAATAACTCAAAAGTTAATGGTTCAAATCCACCTCAGGGCATGTTAGAAGAAAGCCTTAGTTTCCAAAAAATCAGCCATTGAAAACCCCAATGGTTCAAATAAAAAAAGTGGCTGGGTCTTGGGGGTCTCATAGAGATGGTGGAACTTCAGAGCCAATAGCCTTTATTTTTTTTTTTTATTTTATTATTTTTGTGTGAGTGTACCGTCAAATCAGATCTGACTGGTACAGAAGGAGATTGTCCCTCCTTCCGCGGCAGAGCATCTGGTGGATTCGAACCGTGCGACTCTGGGATTGTAGTTGCAGCTCCTTGCCACTAGGCCACCAGAGCTCCCCAGCCAATAGCCTTTAGTCTCCCTTCTCACCTGGATCTAAATCTACCTGTGTGGGTCAGCTTTCAGCCAGACAAGAGACAGATCTAGAAGGTGACCAGTAACCCCAAGGATTTTCTTCTCCGAAAATCAGTCAACCAGACAAAATCAAAAGAACAGTGATTGTTCAAG